GTTGTATTTATTTCCTTTCCAGTTCTTATACCTTTTATATTTTTTGTGTATCATATGGCATTGGGTAGAGCCACTAGTACTATGTTAAATAGAATATTAATAATATTAATATTTCTAGTGATAAAGAATTCTCTAACTTTTGTATGTCACAGATATGCTTATTTCACAATCACTTTTGAAAAATAGTTGCCCCCTCTCCCAGTACATTCAAGATGACATTCCATAGTCTTCTTTTGAAAAGACGGCTGTCAATTCTATTGCTCAGGTAGTGGCCATGTTTCTTTTTCTCCAGCTGCTTTTTATACTTTTTCTTTGTTTTTAATACCTTTATTATATGCTCAGTTTTAGTTTTCTTTAGTTTTATCTTGCTTGCAGTTTTTAAAGCTTCTTGAATATGTAGCTTGATGTCTTTCATCAGTATAGGAAACATTTCAGCCATCTGCCTTCCAACATTGCTTCTGCCTCGTGTTTTTTTCTTCCACTCTTCCGTAACTCAAGGCATATGTGCATTACATTTTTTCACCATATCTCTTATATCTTCTGTGCCCTATCTTTTTTTTTTTTTAAGAAAACCACATTTTGTTATTATATGCTGAATATTATATTCTGACCAATCTTCTACTTTAGCATTTTTTCCTTCTTCTTAGTTCAGTCTACTGTTAAAATCATCGAATGAACCTAAACTTCAGTTATGACATTTTCAGCTTTAGAATTGTAATTTCCCTTTTAGAAATAGATTAACGTTTTATCTTGAGCACTTTTACTTATCGTTCATTTATTTCAATACATTAATCACAGTTTATTTTTGATCTTCTGGATCACTAATAATTGAATCATCTGCATGTCTTTTTATTGTTCATTTTTTTTCTCACTATCCTCTTGCTCAGTAAACCTGATAATGTATTGAATTCTGGGTATCGTGCATGGAAGTCGTAGTTGTTCCAGATGTAGTTATATTCCTCCAGAGATGGAGAAGGAACTTATAAATATCTGACATATGTGGATTTAGGGCATTTATGGAAAGACGAGATAAATTTTTCCTCTTTTTCTTTTTTATCTTCTACAGTGATGTGTCATTACAAATCTTTTGAACATTTTATTTTCATCTCTCATACTCCTCAGACTAATTTTGTAACCTCATATAAAGTCAGTGCAATAATGATTTTGATTTTATTTTAAAGCCTTCTTTCTTCTTCCCCACCGTTGGAATAATAAGAACCAAGCTTATTGAAGTTTATTACTGTTTAGTTACCCTACTTTTTTTTTTCTTTTTTTACCCTGGACACTGGCTAATGCTATAGGAATTTTATATCTCACCAAGTTCTATTCACTTGATCTAGAATTTTAAAACTGGATGTGACCTAAGGGATCATAATTTCTCTTAATTTAAGGATGAATAAACTGTGGCTCACAGACATAAAAAAAACTTGCCTGAGGCCACAAGGATATTAATGTGAGTACATAGAATAAACCCCAAAATTCTAGGATTCAGCTCCATTGTCCCTTTCCACCACTAAATGAGCTCATTTGGCACTAATGAAGGCAATGGGATTCTGAGTAAAAACTATACTTAATTTAATTTACTTATTCTCTCAGAGGTATAATATATAATATAAATATTTTAGCTCAATATTTTATAGGAAAGTCAAACCATTATAAAAGTAATGTAAAGGTATGTATGATATACACAGGATGTGCTTTCATAGGATAACTTATTTTCCATATGTAAATTTTTTTTGGTCAAATTGATGCAGCTGCATAAATTGTTTATAAATATTTAAAAGATTACTTCAACTTCACTTGTTATTTCTCAGCTGTGTGGTAAACCTATATAATTTTCTACAGATAAGAGAGAAATATAGCTTATTAAAATTTTATACTGGCTTTGTAGGAAATAAAGGACATCTAGATCACAATGCAAAATTAAATTTTCTAGTGTAAAATCTTCCTGAATGCTTCACAGTAAGTTAAGAGACCCCTCCAAACTACCTGGTTTCCTTAACCTAAATACATTGTCAAGGAAGGAGTTTTATTTCTGCCGTGGGGCTTAAATATAGCTGAAATTTCCAGAAAAACTAGCTAGTGAAAAGTTCAGTCAATAAAGTAGCCTATAATATTTGATTGAAAGAATGGTCTGGGAAAAGATTTAAAGAATTTTTACTACTTATGGAGTCATCTTTGGAATTAAGACTAGAAAGCCTATAATTGTTGAGAAAATAACCTAAAAAAAAAAAAAAAAAAAAAGAGTTGAGCATTAAAAGACAAATGAGATGATAATTCAAAGACTTAATATAATCTAACAGTTGTGAAGATGGGTCAAATGTCAAGAGTTTTGTTTTCTCCTGAAATGTCTTTGTATTTACACAAAAATTATAAACTAAGAGCATTTGATAGTGTTGATGACATTTTCTCCATTTAGTATCTTTTATTTTATTTATTTATTTAAAAAAATATATATCTTTATTGGTTTCAGAGAGAGGAAGGGAGAAGGAGAGAGAAAGAAACATCAGTGATGCCCGGCCGGGCATGGCTCAGCGGTTGAGCGTCGACCTAGGATACAGGCGATCAGGGTTCGATTCCCGGTCAGGGCACATGCCCGGGTTGCGGGCTCGATCAATGACTCTCTCATCTATCTCTCTCTCTCTCCGTCTCCTTCCCTCTCTCTGAAATCAATAAAGATATATTAAAAAAAAAAAAGAAAAGAAACATCAATGNCTCTCTCTGAAATCAATAAAGATATATTAAAAAAAAAAAGAAAAGAAACATCAATANGGTCAGGGCACATGCCCGGGTTGCGGGCTCGATCAATGACTCTCTCATCTATCTCTCTCTCTCTCCGTCTCCTTCCCTCTCTCTGAAATCAATAAAGATATATTAAAAAAAAAAAAGAAAAGAAACATCAATGATGAGAGAGTCAGTGATTGGCTGCCTCCTGCAGGCCCCCAGCTGGCGATCCAGCCCACAACCCCAGCATGTGCCCTACCTGGGAATCGAACCTTGATATCCTGGGTCCTAAGTCAAAGCTCAACCGCTGAACCACGCCTGGCTGGGCCACTTAGTATCTTTTAAAAATATTTAAATATATAGTATATTGAAAATATTCTGTGCACACAATTATTATGCATGCATTGTAAGTACTACACTCTCAGTTTGGCTGTTAATATTTACTTTTTTTGAAGTAAATTTATTGTAGTATAGTTTCATATTAATCATGGTTCTTTAATAGAAAGTGTATCAATTTAACTGATATTTTTGACACTTTATTATCATTTTCCTTTTTACCATTGTGTATGAAAATATTTAAAAGTTATCATTATCTGCTAGGCAAGTAGTCTTGAAAGTTGACTAGTGTTTAAATTCTTTAATGTTTGGATGATCTGAATGCTAAGGGAAAATCGTAACAGTAGAGATAGTAAGACTCTTTCAAAAATTAAATGAATGATAAATATACTTTAATGATAATATCAGAAATAAAGCCACTAACTTCTTATTTCTTTACATTACTACTTTGAATACTAGGAAGCAACTTAATTTCAACTGAGTATATTTTCTAGTAATTTCTTATTGCTTTTCAAGCTATTCTTTATATTACTATGTTTCCACATTTGTTTTTTACACTGACACACACAACAAATACTTAAAATCCCATATAGGACTTATACCAGAATTAAGGAAATATATTTGAGATTTATGCTTTACATGTAAAAGTGTCAAGTAATAGAATTATTTATGTCCTGGACTCTCTTGTCTTCACAGATAAGGAAGATTTTGTAATATTAAGGAATTCTAGGGAGTATATACTCAAGCAGAATGTTAAATATATTTTCAGTAGAAAGATTGGTGACTTTGGGGGGGGGGCATTTTCTTCTGGCTATATTTATCAAGTGATGTCCAAGTGGTATGATGCAGCAAATCAACTGGCGGATTCAAAGAGATAAAATTAACATAGAGTTAGCCCAATTAATAATGTGATTTCTTTTCACTATTAATTTTTATTGGAACCCAAACATTTTATGGAGTAGTATATCTACAGACATTAGGATTTTTATTTGCTGCAAAAAGCAAAGATATGTTAGTTATGTGACAATTTATATCAACACTGACTTGTCAATAATAGCAACTTGAAGAAATGCTGTCTAGATGCATCTAACTAGAAAACTGTGTCAAGATGCTTACCAAAATGATATACTATGATTTAGGCTTCTAGAAAATTTAAATCTCCACATTGTGATTTTTCTGTGAACACCAAAAGTAGGTAGTGATATTGGAAAAAAATTAAAGAAGTGGATTTTCAGCAATTTGAAAATCAGACTTCCAAAATGGAACTCAGACAAATAGTTTTAGTTGCTTTGGAAATAACATCAACAAAAGCCAATATTAAATGCTGCAAATAGGAATATAAATTTGTTTTATGAGTAACAAAATATACAAACATACCATCAAAATAATAAAGGAAAACTCAAGGATTTTAATAAGGTTCATTTAAATATTGGAAAAATGAAAAGCTAAAACGTTTCAAGTCAGCTAGTGAATATCTAAAGTCTGCCCCTAAGTAGAATAAACCAATACTAATCAGTTTAGTAGATTGGTGGCGTGACTTCAGCAGTATTGATTTTGCAATATTTAATGAAAGTTTATCTTTTGTTAAAAATTTAAGGATGTATTTTGATTGGAGATAAGGGAAATAAAGAATACACGAATCATTGAAATTGGGAAATGTTTAACAAGCGTAAGGTAAATAAAGCATAACACAGTAAAGCACTCACCCTTTCATCCACATGATGGCGCTGGAAACCGCCTATTGTGCTGTGTGTGTTTTTTTAAACAAAGGAATACAGCGCGTTTATATTTCTTAGAAAAGAAAAAGGCTGCTCCAGTTTTCACTCTGCAGCTGCAGCAGAAAAGGCGGAAAAATAAAAATTATAGCCAATCTGGATTTAAGTTTCCAAAATCTATTGTGTGGTAGGGCAAAGACATTTGAAAATTGCACCAAATTTGCGATGGTATATCCCCGGAGAAGAAGTACCGGAGCCCGGCGCCTGCTGCTCTCGCTTCTGCTCCTCGCAGCCTGGGAGGCTGGGGTCAGCCAGGTCCGCTACTCGGTCCCCGAGGAGGCCAAGCACGGCGCCTTCGTGGGCCGCATCGCGCAGGACCTGGGGCTGGAGCTGGCGGAGCTGGTGCCGCGCCTGTTCCGCGTGGCGCCCAAGGGCCGCGGGGACCTTCTGGAGGTGAATCTGCAGAATGGCATTTTGTTCGTGAATTCTCGGATCGACCGCGAGGAGCTGTGCGGGCGCAGCGCGGAGTGCAGCATCCACCTGGAGGTGATCGTGGAGAGGCCGCTGCGGGTTTTCCACGTGGAGGTGGAGGTGACGGACATTAACGACAACCCGCCAAGGTTCTTCCGACAAGAACAAACATTATTTATTTTAGAATCAAGAACAGTCGATTCCCGGTTTCCGCTAGAGGGCGCATCTGATATGGATATAGGAGCAAACGCAGAACTGAGATACAAGTTAAATTCTAATGAATATTTTCATTTGCATGTGAAAACAAATGAAGAAGAAACAGACTTTTTGGAGCTAGTGTTGAAGAAGCCAGTAGATAGAGAAGAAATCCAAGAACATCGTTTATTATTGATTGCGGTTGATGGAGGAAAACCTGAACTAACAGGTACTGTTCAGTTATTGATCAATGTATTGGATGCAAATGACAATGCCCCAGAATTTGATAAATCAATTTATAACGTTAGATTACTGGAGAATACACCGAATGGGACGTTAGTTATTAAACTTAATGCGTCAGATGCAGATGAGGGTCTTAATAAGGAAATAGTGTACCTCTTTAGTAATCTTGTTCTTGACAAGGTGAAATCTAAATTCATAATCAATTCCAATAGTGGGGAAATAACAGTTAAGGGAGAACTGGATTATGAAGACTGTAATTTATATGAAATCAATATTGATGCTGTAGATAAAAGTACATTCCCATTAACTGGACACTGTAAAGTAATAGTGAAACTTCTGGATGAGAATGATAATACCCCAGAGATGGCCATAACTTCCCTGTCTCTGCCTGTCCAAGAGGACTCTCCACTGGGCACTGTCGTTGCTCTGATCAGTCTGTCCGACCGAGACTCTGGTGCCAACGGACAGGTGACCTGCACCCTGTCGCCACATGGTCCCTTCAAGCTGGTGTCCACCTTCAAGAATTATTATTCGCTGGTGCTGGACAGCGCCTTGGACCGCGAGAGCGTGCCAAACTATGAGCTGGTGGTGACAGCGAGGGACGGGGGCTCTCCATCTCTGTCGGCCACAGCCAGCGTGTCCGTGGAGGTGGCC